TCCCCCGGAGGAGCTGGAGGAAGTGTCTGGAGAGAGGGAAGTCTGGGCATCTTTGCTTAGACTGCTGCCCCCGCGACCCGGTCCCGGATAAGTGGAGGAAAATGGATGGATGGATGGATGGATGGATGGACACAAAGCTTTTTTTTGGAAAAGCACAAGTATTTTTTTTAATAAGAGTCCTTGCCAAGAGACAAACATAGCACATTGTTTGAGACAATAAAAACACTACTCCTACTGTAATTTCCTGATGAACATGCCTAGCAAAAACATTAAGAACTTGCTGCTCTGAGTCCAGTCAATTTTGCAATGAAGCCCCTAAAGCGCATTCATTAGGACGGGCAACATAAAGCTCTTTTCTCCAGCCCCTGCCCCTCTGTCTCTCCTTGTCCCCCATCCACCCCTGTGAAGGACAAGCCCTGAGTTGGGTCCCTGGCTACAGACCTAAAGTGACTTTAAAAGCAGGTAATTGGAAGTCATGATCCCCTGGATCAATAAGTGTCTGTTAGAAAATTGAAAAGAGAGACTGATGGGAGGTGAGGGAAAAGAAGCCTTGCAGCCTTGATTTCATTATCCCCGCAGGGAGCTTTAGTCCTGTTTGTTTTTCCTGTTTTCAAATCATGAATCAAAACAAAAATGGTGTCTCAATTTTAAGTAATGTGATTGAGAGCACAATGAGAGAGATAAATAATGAGTATGACAATGAAAAAAGGATAGTAACGAAAAAACAGGTGGATAATGGTCAGGTTCAACTGATCTAGGTTTCTTGTTAATCACATTTTGGTATGTCTATAAATATAAATGTTCATTGCAGTTATTGCTCTGTTATAATTAACTCTTACCAGATTTCTATTCTTGTCAAGGACATTTTAACAGAATTTACAGCATCTGACAGTGTCAGAGACCTGCAGGTGGGTTAACAACTCATTAGTGACAGTGACTCCTGTTAACAGTAGGAAAACATTACTAGAGCTTACAATAATTGTAATTTATGTTAAGTATGTCTTAAGCTTAAATTAATGTGCAATGACATTAACAAAGCCAAATACCTCTGTCGCTGGCTGGGTCTTGCTTAACAATGGAAAGAGGGGTCTTGCTGGGTGGCTTGCTGAGGGGATGACGGCGGCTCTTTTTCACCTCTTTTGGCATCTTCATCTTCGGGTAGGATGCCTGATAAAACAAGTTTATTTCATTCAGTCATTTTTCTATTTTTGTTTCACTGTGTTTTACACCTTAAAATATGGAGTAGGAAATAAAGTTTCACCTGGGTGGTGTTCACATCCAGTTTGCTGTCTGCTGGGATGTCACTCTGCCTTGGGGTTAGAGGGTTCCCCATGGTGTTCTTTGAGTTCTTGGTGGAAGATGTAGCAAATTGCTTAAATGCTTCTTCAAATCCAGTGATGGAGTTGTGGATATTTGATGTCTTCTTCAGCTTTTTCTGCTTCTTTTTCTCAAAGTCTTCTGTCAGGTTTTGTGGTTTGGCCTCAAGCTCTTGTGTTGGTAAAGAGGAGAAAGAAAATCAATGGCTCATCAAAAACTGAGTAGGTGAAAAGGTAATAGACTGGAAATGTGACAGTGATTTTTGGAAATGGGGACTGGGCTCAGAAATAAGCTGTGGATTTGGAAGGATTCATCCTAAATGTTTTTTAGGAATCAAAATTGAGTTGTCTATATTTCGTGCTGCAGGTACAAAACTGGACAAGCACTTCTAATTCAAAATAAAAGAACTGTGTTTGATCATGTCCAAATTAATACAGTGCCAGGGCTTTGGAACAAAAACCCTTTTCTTTTTCATGTGTTCACACACACATCGTCCCAACCCTGTCATTTTTGTAAAAATCAACTAACTATGTCATCGGGACCAGCCTCCGGTCCCTGTGAAGTTAGTAACTCGTGCATTTTGGACCACAAAAGTATAGAAAAACAAGGCCGCAAACAAACCATCTGATTTCTCATATCAGCCTCACCTGGAGTCCATGCTGCTTTGGCAGCAGCCTCCTGCTCCTCACGCTCCATGGCCTCCAGGGTCATCATGGCCTCTCTGGCTAAACGATCCTCCTTCTCCTGCCTCCGCTGGGCCTCACGCTGCTCTACCTGATGCTGGTACTCAGCAGCATTCAGTTCAATGCCCTCCTCAGCCAGCACCTTCACCTCCTCCAGCTTTAGACGACGAAACTGTTTCATCTTCTGCATGGCCCTGGTGCAGTGCAAAGAGATGGGTGAGCAAAAGCTTCATGTAATATGCTTTTGAGAGCATATGCGCATAGACTGCTATTATGTGTTTGGAATAGATATTACGATATGTATCAAATGCATGGATAAGTCATGTATAGAGAAGCTGCACAAAAAGGCATTAAAATATCCATTGTACATATTAGAATGTGTTTATTACTTCCTGTGTATAATGTATATCCAATATATCAAAACCACCAAATTAAGACTGTGTGTGTGTGTAGTTTGACCTCTCACCTTCGCAGGACATTTTCTCGGTAGGTGACACGATGCTGCCTCCAGCGCTCTAGTTCAGGGCTGCTGAGCTCAGTGACCTTAAGGTGGTCTAGGACTGTGGAGTCTTTACCCTGTTTCCACAACTCATAGCGGTCCGGCTGCAGGCAGCGCACAAACACATCCATGGAAATCTTGACCATGTCCTTACGACAGGTACACTGGAGGAAAAATGAATGAATGACTGCATATTAAAGTGGTAAATAACTGCAGTAGGAAAGGAAATTGATAATATTGTCCACAGCAAAGAAAGTGCCAATTCATTTGGAGTCAAACAGCACCTGAGTGCAAGTGACATATCACAGATTTGAGGTTTTTCAAAGCCTAACCCCTCTCAGTGGTAGAACACTTGTGGTTGTCCACCAATGGAGAGTCAGGTTTGTTTGCTAATTTGAGTTTGCCTTAATTTAGGATTGAAAAAATAAGCACTTGTGTTGAAGTGCATCATTTGGATAACATTTACAGCAAAGCACTGATGAGGCCAATTTAGATAGTAAAGAATAACTGGACATACAATACTTGGTTGAGGCATCACTCTAATCTCAATCTATGAGTTAAAGAAGCCAATTGTAAAACATAACACACATCAGGCAGGCTGTGAATGTACACTGGAGAGACCGACAATAATTGTCCCATGAGGTTTCTGTATATACGGCATCAAACAGTTACTCTAAGATGTGGTAGTGGGTAAATATGGCAAGTAATACGACTTGATAAATGTGCTTCTGTGCAGATAGCTCAGACGTAAATGAGAGTGACAGATGCATCCAGTAACCGCTCACACTTCAAAATGACTCTGGGTCAATGAATCATTCTGCTGACTAGAGAAGGGAGGAGCAAGATACTCTAGTGACACAGCTTTTAAATCAAATCACAGTTCTTTATGTAAAGGGAGGGAAATAAGGCAGGTACAGGAAAAAAAAAATCAGAATGAAGGAAAAAAAACAAATTAAACAAAAATGTGGGAGAGAGAGTGAGAGGGAAATATTTTCTTTTGTGCCTTCTACGCTGTAATACATTTTTGCTCCATTATTTCCCAAGCTGTACTGAGAGCCTTATGTTCAATTATTGGAAACACAGCAGCTCTCCCTTCCCAGCGAAAACAATATCCAGTCTACATCTCATCTAGACACCATTTGACAGACAGAAACATTAAAATAGGGTGTTGGAGTGGGAAGTGGGAGGGCAGAGGGGGGCAAATGGGCATGGGTACTGCTGGCTGTTACCATCATGAAACCTTTAGTGGAAACAGAATCATGAAACTAGAACAACAGTCCACTGCTAGGTTGGCTGCAGTTCTGAACCCAGACCCTGGAGGTTTGATTCGCCGTTTCAGTTTCAGAACCGTAACACCCCTGCAAGATAAGCATTGCTCTTGCTCTTACGCAGACTGTACCTGGCAATATTTGCCATTTTCATTTATAGAAGAAAACAAAGACCCATTTTATTTTTATGAAACTGTTAAGAGATTATAGAGATTGTTGCCATCCTCAAGGGCCAGGATGAGTTGCACTTTATTATCATATAAAAACTTTATTAGAGGAGAGAAACTCTTTTGAAGACACACAAGATCTGGGAAAACAAAAACTCATTCTGAGGCAGACAGTCAATGAGCCCTGAAGTATACTTGGGCTCCTGGTGAAGCTAAAGTGTTGAAGCCACAGAAAACCTAGAGCCCAGGGACTGTGTATGGATCAGAGCATGTGCCAAATACTAATAACAAAACAAGGCTCGAATGTGACCTGTCTGACCTGCCCCACAGTAGCTGGAACATTTTGATTACCCAAAGTTCTTTATAGTTGCTTTGTTCACACTGTTGCTGAGAACAGAAATAACAAGTAAGACAATCCAAAGAGTGAGGAATGATAATAGGGGTAATTAAAAATTATTAAGATGCACAGTGCACAACGGGGTTGTATATAATCCAGCTGTTCATGCTGTTAAAACCTACAGTGGAAAAAAAAAAAAAACTTGTCTGAAGTCTTACTTGGTTGTTTATTTGTTTCACAACTATTTTTAAGGTTTTTCACTGAGATGCAGGTTGTAAAATATAAGCTGACCAAAATTTAAA